CCCTGGGGAAAAAAGCGTGGACGGTGAATGGAAATACACCACTCCGTCGTTTTGAGTTCTTCCAATCTAAGCTCAGAAGATGAGAGAAGAATGAGTCATATTATTCTCTACTGTTTTTTCCCTAGCCAAAGTGGTGTCAGGAATCTTTGGTTTCCAGGGACAGAAAAGCTGATTCAAATTGGCTTAAGCAAAATGAGAGGATTCATTAGGGTATGCAGCATCAGTGAGGGTAGATGACTTCAGGTGTGGCTTGAACAAAGTGCTCAACAAGGGTCTCATGACTTGGTGTAACTCTTTATCTTTCAGCTTCGCTTCTGATGGTTTCCTTCTTAGGATGGTGTAGGGTGGCATGATGGCTGCCAGAAATTCTGGCTGAACATCCTCCTGGAATTCAAGTTTAACAATAAGAGAAACTGTCTTTTCCCAGTCACTTTTTCCAGAAACCCTGAGACTCACTCTGATTGGACCTGTTAGGACACATTCCTACCCCTGAACTCATTGCTGACATCATGGGGTTTGGATGAGCCAATAGGCTTGGGTGATGGTGGGGGAAGAATGGCTCTCCGTGGAAATTCACTATTGCCAAGAAAGAACGAAAGGATGCTCAGTGGCTGGAATAACAAATGTCCATGATGTGTCTCAGAGAGGCTTGTGCTTCTCTAAGAAAACAAATCTGGGAAAAAAAAATGGCTTCTGGTGCCTAGAGTAAGTCTAGTAGCTCAATCACAGTTGGGACTGGCAGGGGAAAAAAATCCCCTGGACTTGGGTTTATCAGCAGCTCGGAGACCTGATTCCATGATCTCTGATCAGGTAGAATTTCCTTCTGGCTTTCTATATGAGAATGGCCGGACCCAGCCTCAGACAATCCATCATCACGAATAACCCTGTTTAGAAGCCTTGAATCAGATGATCACCCGCAGGTTGACGGACCACCGGGTGAAGCCAGCTTGGGGCTTCACTGTGTCCTTGCATAGAAACAAGAGCCTCCATCTCAGCAGGTGTCTCTTCTTGGTCAGCCTGCTAACGATCTAGAAAGCAGGGCTGGGTCCAAGAGCGGCAATCATCGTGTGGTTTTGATGAATGTAGAGTGTTGGGTTGTCATCAACTCATTGCAGTGGGACTCAAGGAATACATCCCTCCATGCATTTGTGTGTTCTCTCTCCCAGCATTGCATTACTTGTCAGAGGGAGAGCTTGGGTCTGGATGATGAACTGGGACTAGGTCTGGAACGCCTAGGCTGATATGGGAGCTCTAGCCACACTGTTTGAGGTTAGCATAACCAGTTGATTGAACGATATAGCAAACAGTTATAAGCCTTACTGCACCTTCAATGTAGGCTCCTATCTTGGCACAGATCAGAATTCCAAAGGGAAGAATGGAGCTGGCGCATGTAAAACCCTAACATCCCCAGAGTTCCAGGTCCTCTGCCAGCCTCCCTGCCGGAAGTGCGTTTAGTAGATGAATTGTTTGGAATAAGATTGACCTAGGAATTAAATCACACCCTTTACTCTGACCTTCAGGACACCCACTGTGTGATATGGTCTCTGCTTCCTGTCCTAAGTCATCTCTCCCCTCTCTCTCCCTCAGTCATTAAACTTTAGCTGTTTTGATCTCCCTCTGTTCCCTGAACTTGCCAAGCCCCTTCCTACCACATGCTGCTCCTTCTTCTCGGATGGCTCTCCTTATGTCACCCCACCCCTCAGCCTTGCCTGGCTGATTTCTTCATATTCTTTTGAGCAGCCCCAGTGTAGCAGACCAGCTGCTCTCAAGTGGGGCTCCTCTCCACACCACTCCCGAACTGTTACATCATCTGATTTCCTTGATGTTATTCTCTGTGTTGAATTCATTCTTTCTTGTCTATCTGCTCTCTTAAGAATGCGAACTTCATAAGAGCTGGGACCTTCACTTTTGGTAGCCTCTTTCCCTAGATTCACTCCCCTGGAACCATGCCTGGCACATCGCCGGAGTTTGTTAAATTCGTTGAGTGGATGAAAAGCAATCAATAGATGAATGTTTCTCGAGCAGTAGATCTGGCAGGTCTGCTCAAATACATAAAGCACTAGTCTCTCTTTCCACCTACTGGCATCCTTGCAGACTCAGAATGATGCCCCCAGTTTTATCCCCAAAGCAGGTGGCCCAGTGCCATGCACGGTGCTGAGAAGGACTCAGAAGGACGTTGTGCCCTACCCTCAAGAATTCTAGTCTGAGGAACAGGCAAGATGCATGCGTCTCAGTAAGTAGGCAACTGCACACAAGTTAGGGCTGAGGAGTGAGCTGTAAAGGCAGAGGTACTGGGAATTCAGAAGTGGGAATACTGGGGCGCCTGGGTGGCTCAGTTGGTTAGGCGACTGCCTTCGGCTCAGGTCATGATCCTGGAGTCCCGGGATCGAGTCCCGCATCGGGCTCCCTGCTTGGCGGGGGGTCTGCTTCTCCCTCTGCCCTCTTCCCTCTCGTGCTCTCTGTCTCTCATTCTCTCTCTCTCAAATAAATAAATAAAATCTTTAAAAAAAAAAAAGAAGTGGGAATACTAAGGAGTCCATGATGGACATGGGAGCTGGGGCTTGATGGTCAAGGCTACCATTCTTCACCACTGTCATCGCCACCCCAACTTGACCGAGCTCTTGCAACATGCCAAGGGCTCTATGTGCCTCATCTCTCAAAGTATGCACAGCAACCCTCCAAGGTGGTGCCTGCTATTGTCATTTCTGTCTTTCAGATGGGGAAACCGAGGCTTAGGTCAAATAACTTCCTTGCAGGAAGAAGCAGATCATGCTAAGGCTGCCAGCAAAGCCCATGTTCCTCCCACACAACCCCCGTTGCTTGTGGTTTCTCTGTGTAGAAAACACTTCACTCTCAATGGCATCATGACACATTAAGATAGCACTGAATTAGGGGTGAGAGACCTTGTGTCTGTTCCTATGGTCCCCACTGATTTATGTGAAATTTGGAGGATTTCATTCAAGATTTTGAAGTCTTCGTTTCCTCACCTAGAAGAGAGAGAAATTGGACTTAGCACTACCAAGTCTTGCTGAACATCAGCATATTCTGGAGAACATACATATTCTAGAACTCATAAACAAAGACTCTGGTTCAGTGAGGGTGGACTGGAGCCTGGAAATCTGAGGGTATGAGAAATCCGCCCAGGGGAGCACAGCTACAGGGTTGGATACTGAAGACTTAGGTTAGCGTTTTCAACCCTGGCTGCACATTACATTCACCCAGGGAATTTTAAAAATCCTGGACCCTATCCCAGACCCACTCAGTTGGCATCTTTAGGTATGGGGCTGGTGGGGGTGGGAGAGCATCAGCTTTAAAGTTTAAAGACTGCTGGCTTTTGAGATGTGGCTAGTGTGCCTGCGAAGCCAAATCATTAATTTTATTTAATACTTTGAAATTAAGTTTAAATAGTCACATGCAGCCAGTAAGGCACTGCATTGGAAGCCCAGGCTAGGATGAGTTGAAGGTTTGGTCATTCTAAGAGGACTTGTTCCTTGCTCCATCCTCAACCATAGAGCTTCTCTCAGAAATTATTTTACATGATCTCCATCTCCTCCACCCTAGTCTGAGAGCCTAGTACACAGACTCTGAGTTAAGACTGGAGTGCCTCTCCTGGTCTCCAACTCAGAGCATGGCAGCCACCCTCATTTTTGGGAACCTACCAGCTGGGAACCCTCTAGTCACCAGATACTTAAGGTTAAACATCTCATTTGAAGAGAGGAGGAGAGAGCAGAGAAAGGTGGTTTTGGTTATTTTAGAAGGATGATGGTGGATTGGCTCATGGGAGAAGCAAAATGGGGGGACAGAACGTACATCATGAAGTGGTCCAATGAGTGGAGGTTGCTTAGAGTGAAATTCTGTGTTTGTGGGTGAGGGAGCTGATGTGCTTTTGGAAAATGATGGACAGGGGTAAAATATGAAGACTTCCTTTGGTTTTCTCCCCCAAGCACACCTTACTTTGCTTCATTAGCTCACTCAACAATTTGCTTTGTCACATGTTTGTGGAGTACCTGACCTCTCTCAGGTACCGAGATGATGCTGAGTCCCAAACACGTTAGTGCAGACTGTGCTGGGGCTGGTGTGTGTTTTTACTTTATCCTGAAGGTTGTGAGAGCTGCTGAAAAAAAATTTAAGAAGGAGGACATCATGCTCCAGTTTGAACTTTAAAAAAAGTAACTGGAGCAGCAGTGTGGAAGGTGGGTGGGAGAGGGACAAGACTTGGGTAGGGACTCCATAGAGGAGGTTCTCGCTCTTGTTTGAGAGAGAACTTCCAAGGGTCTGGAACATGGGCAGGTCCAACAGGGAAAGAAAAAAGAAATAATCCTCTGGGACAATGAAGAAATAATGGATGCCCCTCAGCTTGAGTGGCGGTTAAGTGCAGTAGAAAATGTGGGAAGAGATCCCTCCTATCCTGAAAGGAGAAAAATGAGTGATAGAACATAAATCATAAAATAGTCCAGTAAATGGAGGCTGCCTAGAGTGAAATTTTTGTGTTTGTGGATGATGGAGCTGATGTGTTTTTGGGAAATGACACCTGGGTACAATTTCCCCTGTTAGCCCCAGTCTTCTGCATCAACTGATTGCCAGTTGATGTGAGATCACTGACATTACTTTGCTATTTCTGGACATTTTCTTTTCTAGTTGGATGCCTGAAGAATGATTGAGTGGTGTTTATTCATCACACACACACACACACACACACACACTTTTGTTTCCTGTTCTGCACACCTGGTATCAGTGTTTTCCAGGACCTAAGCATCCAGATTCTAGATTCAGATTACCTGATCTTGAATCCTGACCCTGCCATGTACCAGCTATGTGTGTTAGGCAAGTTACCTTCTCTGAACTGGAGTTATAAAATCTGTAGTACAAGGATGATAATAAGACCTCTTGCTCCACATTAGCTGTGATGATGACCATGGTGATGGTGATGGTAATTCTGATGAGAAGGGAAAGGGAAATGGATAGAAGGATATGATGATGAACAATGATGGTGGATGACAATGATGATGACAGTGGTGGGTGATGAGGAGGAGAAGGAGGAAGATGGATATGATGGGGATGATGATGATGGTGGTGGATAATGATATGATGATAGTGGTGGTGATGGTGTGTGATGATGATGGTAGATGATGAATGATGGTAGGCGATGATGGTGTTAGTGGATGATGGTGGTGGTGGATAATGATGATGATGATGGTGATGGTGGATGATGATGATGATGGTAGATGATGAATGATGGTAGGTGATGATGGTGATGGTGGATGATGATGAGGGTGGTGGATAATGATAATGATTATGATGATGGTGATGGTGAACGATGATGGTAGATGGTGGTGGTGGATGATGATGATGGTGGTGATGATAGATAATGATGGTTGTGGATGATGATGGTGGTAGATGATATGATGGTGGATGATGATGATGGTGGTGATGGAGGAGGAGGAGGAGAATGGCTGATGATGAGATAGAGATCCTTCACTGGGACAGAGTTAGCTTATATGTATGTGAGAATGCTATTCTTCTAAATTCTCAGGCTTATCAAGTTTGGTGCCTTTAGTTTTCCTCTCATCCATGGAAGCAGAAATAAAATATATTTAAAAGCTCAGTTATCACACAATAAGAGTGGCAGAAACACCAAGTCTCACCAGGACAGTCCTCCCACAAGAGAAAGAAAAATCCCAAGGAATCCCTCTCGATTTTTGCTGGGTCACCTGCATCATTATCTTTTTTTTGGTACCCACCCAGGCAGGCAGAAGGAAAATAAGCTATGGAAATGGGTGCAGGGTTGACAACAGTGACCAGTTCTCTCAATGCTTCCTAGGGAGGATCTTCCTGCTCATTTATTTCCTCACCAAATATATATTGAGCCCCTGCTGTATGTCAGACATTGTGCTACACTCTGACAATACTAACTTGAATAATACTTATGCTGCTGTTGAGAAGAGACTGAGAAAAATGAATAAATCAGCATTGGAGCCCAGGTACTCAGATCACAGAAATTCACTGGCATGGGGCACAAGCAGTGGCTTTTTTTTTTTTTTTAAACCCTCAAGTGATTCTCCTCTGCAGCCAGAAATGAGAGCCACCAGTGTGCACGAGGGAACATTAGATGACATCTTGCATCTTGTAATAAAGTTGTTGTCAGCATGGGGCCTTGTGGATTTTAGGGAAATCACTTAACCTCTTTTCCTGTGACTTTATGAGAAATGCCATCCGTGAGGGTTATAGCCACTTGCGATACCTCATCCCTTGGGTAGTTAGAATCGAAGAGCTGATGGGTATGAGTGTCCGTTATAGCCTTTGTGAATGGGTAAATGAAATGAAAGTTGGTATTAGACTCTATTAAACATCATGCCTTGATACCCACCGGGGTCAGGTCTCACCCTGAGTGCTCAGCAAGCTCTGGAACATTCTAGAACATGAGATCAGGAACTCTCATCTAATGAGACCTCGGTTTAAGATGGGGCCAAAATGCAGAGTGGAGAGAAGACACCCAGAATCCCATAGCCCCTGCCTCCCTCACTCTGTGTTTAAAACAGTTTGTTCTGTCTTCAGCAGAGCAGTGAGCCTGGGGAGAGAACTGCTCTTGCTTCAGAACCCAAGTGGGTGTCTGAAATCTGTTCCTCTCCCCCGGCTGCACACTGCCGAGGAAGCCAGTGCCAGAGGTGGTCAGAGACTGCTCTATAGAATCTGAAAAGGACAGGCTGAGGGATGGCAGGAGGTGGTGAGTGCAGGAGAAACAGCCTCTGCTACTCAGGTAGGAAGCGGGAAGAATGTTCAGGGCCTTGAAAAGAGGGCCATGTGGCATATCAGATGCCAGGCCCTGGGAGTGTGGCCAAATTCCTCCATCACCTCCTGCCAGTCCGTAAAAATATCTTTGAAAAATCCAGGGCTAAACATGAGCCTCTTCACTGTCTCGCTGGGCAGTTACGTTTTGCAAATACCTTCTCACTTCCATCCCTCCGTAAGGTAGACAGAGCCTTGGGTCCGTAATGGGTTTGGAAGTTTCAGATGCCAGTGGAAATGATAGTGGTGCAGGGTAACTGTGGGAGGTCCATGAAGGACATGAGAGATGGTTTCTCTCCAAAGCATGATTCATCACTGGGAAGAAAGACAGTTCCTTCTCTTCGTGTGGCCTCCTTGGGCTCAGAGTGAGTGGGCTGGTTTGCGGAGCGGAGGGGCAGTGTGATGCTGGCATGTCAGGAGATCTGGACATACCGGTTTCTGAACTAGGATCAGGATCCCCTTGGGCTTCTGGCTCTGTCCATGTTGTCGAGAGGACTGAAGGACATGGAGAGACGTCCCTGGACTGTTGGGAGTCAGGCATAGATAATAGATGAGCCTGTCATCCTACTTCAGCTCTTCCTGGCTCCTCCCACCCTGGGATGGTGCTTATTATGCCCACTTTATAGGCAAAGAAACTCAGATGCAGAAAGTTTCAGAATTTAACCACGGTCACGTGGTTAGTTCTTGCAGAGCCACAACTTGAACTCAAGTCCGAGAGACCCCAGAGCCCACAGTGTTTCAACTATAAAGTGACTGGTGTGCATAAAGGGGTAGGCTGGAGAGTCTCTACTTAAGGTGATTGTCTAGGGGAGCCATTGATGACCATAGAGGAGAGGAGTGGCATGGTTAAAGCAGTGTTCAACCAGGAACTTCCATCAGGCAGTCATGACATGGCTGAATTGTTGGGATGCTCAAGTCCAGAGTGGGAATTACCCCTGACCCACGGGGAAAATAACAGTGATGTCGATTTGTTGAGTACTTGATATTTGATGGATACTGCCCCAGATGCTTTTCTACAAGGAGGTCATTGAATCCTTCCAGCTCAACAAGAAAGTGCGATCATCACCAACAGTATAGTGCAGGACTGAAAAGCTTGGAATCTCGAAGGCAGGCAAACCTGATTCCCTGTCTTTATGACCCTGGAAGAGTCACTCTGCCTTTGAGTCTGTTTCTTCATTTGTATGACAGGGATCATGCTAGCACCCATTTAGGAAGGTGGTTGGGGGTAGGATTAAATGAGATACTACACTGAAAGCGTTGAGCCACACAACTCTCATAGGCATGTTAACTAGTATAATTATTGACATTGCCATACCCATTGTACAGATGTGGAAACTGAGTCTTGGGAACGTGAAGTGATTTTTTTCCCAAGGTCACCCAGTTAGGATTGGTACCTGGACAGCATGACCCCAGAAGTTACACTGTTGTCCATCCTGGGGAGAAGACCCTAATGGGGATCAGAAGAGAGTAATAGAAGAGATTCGGCCTGGACTAAAGCACCACAAGACCGGGGAGTGGGAATGGCACAGGCAAAGAGCTTGCACATATTTTTACACAGACGGCTGTGCCAAGCGAGCTCTTGGCTAATGAACTGCCGTCCCTATAATTATCTTCTCTTTCACGAAGTTCACAATGCATCCATGCCCTCCTCCCCACATGGAGAGTTAGATAAGCCTGCACTTGCTTGCTGCTCTGCTCTATGCACAAAGCCGCTCGTGAATACAGTAACATCTGGCTCATAGCATGTGGAGCAGGGGTGCGGGAGCATCCCAGACACCTCCCCCGCCGCCCCCAGCTAGCACCTCTCCACTAATTCCGATTATCCCTAGGAAGTGTGTACATATGGATCATCTCAGAGATCCTTTTTATTGGGTTCCGACCGTGCCCTTAGCATCTGCCCTCCTGAGATCTTTCTCCATTCCTTGTGTGCTCAGTGCAAAAAGATGCTGATCCCTTTGCCTTTTGCAGTCATAATGTGACTCTGGTCAGCAGCTTCCTTGGAGGCATCTTTGCTCCATGGGAATTATTACATTTCCTTGGTAATTAAGCTTGGAGCTTCTCAGTCCCATCCCAAGAAACACCTGGCAGTGCATAAGGTTGTTGGGTATAACTGCCTTGAAATTTGACTTCTGTGCCTTCGTCCATTGGTGGGTTCGTTATGTTGTCGCTGTTTTTGGTATTTAATGAGGTTGCATGCACAGCTGTTGAGGCTTAGAGGCCCTCTATATTCCTTTTCTGATCAAGAAAGGTCACTCTCTCTCTATTTCAGACATTGGATGGAGGAGTGGTAGGTTGGTGATGTTGAAAGATTTTATTTTCTGGACATGACATTCAAGAGCCATAAAAAAAAGTACAATCTCAGACACTGAATTCTTCTGTTTTGCTTTATGTTTAAGCCAAGGACATTCCTCTTAGACTTCATTCACACATTCATTTACTCATGCGTTCCCTCCCCCTGCATTTCCTGATGTGTCATGTTCCAAGCCTTCTGCCTAGTTCTGGGGACAGAGAGATGAAGACAGCAATCTCTCTGCCCTTGAGCCATTCATAGTCTTGTTGAGGCATGATTTAAAATGATTAATCAATCCAAGAATATTGGATTTCTCCAAAAGCTATTGTAGGGAAAAAGATAATTATCCAAAGTCTTTAAATCTGTTACCCACTTTAATTGATTTAATTAGGTAAAATTCATAAAACTGTATTGTTGGAAGAAACCCAGAGGCATTTATTCCCATTTTTTTGTTCCCTCTCTGCCTTCAGGTCGTACTGCACTTGAATTATCCCCCAAACCCATGCATTTCAGAAAAGGGAAGTATTTCGAAGAACTACAACTTTTGGCCCACTCAGATGAAACTTTCTATTCACTGAGCACCCACAGGCAAAACTTGGCAGACTTCTTGAAAGGGTTGGCATGCACAGCTACAAAGTGTTGTTTTGAAAGACAAATGGAATTGATCGTCCACCCTTAATACACACACACACACACACACACAATGGAACCTCTGTATTCCTACTATTGAGGTGAATGCATATGGTAACTACAGAATGCAAAATGAAAGCATGGCTGCACTATAAGGACTTCTGGAGAATTCTTTTAGTTTCCAGGGAAAGAAAACCATAACTCAGCACTTGTCAAATTGTGTTTTGCTCTAACACACAGGCACACCTTCTCTTTAGCTGGCATTTTTGCACCTTGCCTATCAGTCAGCAGCATGGTTTAAGCACCTGCTATCTGCAGATCTTCAATGATCCCAAGAAAGTTGGGGCTGTGTTTTGGAAAGGGGGCTGGCCACGGAACCAGAGCCTGAGTTCATCTCGAGCCTCATTTCCCCCCCACCAACACCACCACCTTTGTAGGATCATCATGGGGATTTTATGAGTTAAGGGGTGTGAAGGTAGTTTGTAAATGGTACAGCTGTATGCACTGCCTGCCTTTTCGGAATGGAAGTTTGTTCTCATGATCAGATTGTGACTAAGGGGGGGTGTTAGAACTATTAGAGGCCCTTGGGGCACCTGGGTGACTCAGTCAGTTAAGCATCTGCCTTCGGCTCAGGTCATGATCTCAGGGCTCTGGGATCGAGCCCTACGTTAGACTCCCTGCTCAGCTAGGAGGTCTGCTTCTCCCTCTCCATCTGCCCCTCCTCCCTGCTTGTGTTCTCTCTCTCTCTCCCACTCTCTCTCAAATAAATAAACTCTTTAAAAAAACAACAACTATTAGAGGCCCTTTAACCCAACACAAGTTGTCATGTCACTTTCAAGAGTAAGAGCATTCAGCGGCTCCCCCTTATGCTTGAATAAGTTCTAAGCCTCTGAACATATGCCTGAGGCCACACATGATGGGGTTCCTGCCAAGCTCTTCGCCATCATCTCATCCCCCCTACTTCATGAGCCATAATACATTTATCTCCGGCTCCTAGAATAGTCTAGATGTATCTGCAGGACTCCTCTGAGGATAATGTCCACCCGTCTCCCTTCTTCCTCACCCGGACACTCCTTCAGCATCCCCTTATACTTCTCTCAGCCTCTAGTCCCTGCAAATTGCTCTTCCTCAAATTCCCACCAGATCTACGGAGGCAGAGACCATGTCTGTGTCTGTCTTGTTTATCATTGTTTCTCCAAGTCCTAAAATGGTGTTGCTGTGTAGTTAGGGGTTCAACAAATATTTGCTGATTCAGATAAACATTCAGATAGAATGTCCAGTTAGCATTTATTATAGTTTATATTATACAGGAGTCTAGAGTCCGAGTGACAGAAATCCTTTTCAGACTAACTCAAGCGATCATGGGAACCTGTTGGCTTACATAACCAGCAGGTCCAGAGTAGATGGCTTCAGGTACAGCAGACTCCAGGTGCTTCAAGTGCATCATCAGGACTGTGTCTCTGTGTCCTGATGTTGTCTCTGTTGGCTTCATTTTCCAGTTCTGAGCCTGGGGCCAGATAGAGTTCATTGTGTTGAAACCATATGGGCCCCAAAGGGCAGGGGGGAAATGGGATAAGCCAGAAGCAGAAATAATAGATCTCCTTCATGTGCCAGGCTGTGGGCTCCAAGTTCAGGGTCTCTCTCCTCTCTGTATTTCCAGTGTCTGTTCCAGAGTGTGGCATATAGTAGGTGCTCAGGAATGTTCTTGAATGAATAGGTGTGTGATGTATTTGCCCTCCCTTCTAAGAAGGCATTTTTTAAGCCTGTAAAGACAGATGGTTATATGTAAACCGCCTTCTACCTCATCCTCTGTTTTGATTTTTTTTTTTTTTTTTTTTTTTTTTTTACACCTGTTGGCAGGATCCGACGTCAACCTTCTTCCAGTTTGGAGCGTCCATCCAGCAACAAGCCACGGTCATGCTGAAGATCATGCAGGATTATGACTGGCACGTCTTCTCCCTGGTGACCACCATCTTCCCTGGGTACAGAGACTTCATCAGCTTCATCAAGACCACCGTGGACAACAGCTTTGTGGGCTGGGACATGCAGAACGTGATCACCTTGGACACTTCCTTTGAGGATGCAAAGACGCAGGTCCAGTTAAAGAAGATCCACTCTTCCGTCATCCTGCTCTACTGTTCCAAAGATGAGGCTGTCCTCATCCTGAGTGAGGCCCGCTCCCTGGGCCTCACTGGCTATGATTTCTTCTGGATCATCCCCAGCTTGGTTTCTGGGAACACAGAGCTCATCCCAAAGGAGTTTCCATCAGGACTCATTTCAGTCTCCTACGACGACTGGGACTACAGCCTGGAGGAAAGGGTGAGGGATGGCCTGGGCATCCTCACCACTGCTGCATATTCCATGTTGGAGAAGTTCTCCTACATCCCCGAGGCCAAGGCCAGCTGCTATGGGCAGACGGAGAAGCTGGAGGCCCCCCCTCACACTCTGCACCAGTAAGAGGGCAATCTTTGCTTGTCTCCCAAAATGGGACCAGAGTTTTCTTTGTTTGGTTGTTTGGTTGGTTGTTCGAAAACTCAGAGCAATACATACATACTCCCTGCTGAAAACGTGCCCTGCAAGTAGAGAATGTTGTGTGTGTGCTTATGGGATTTTCTCTGATTGACTCTCCTCTCCTCTCTTCCCCTGGACTCCTCTTTCGTTTATAACTTACATCATACTTTGTTTTCTGCAACTTTTTTTTTTACTCAGTGATATACCTTGGAAACCTACTCTCGAGACCTGTCTATGTATCCAGCTATGTATTTCTCTATCCATATTCTATCTATAGCTATATCTCAAGTGTGCCTGTGTGTATATATATACGGATATATATGGATTTTATATGCAGATAATATACACATGTATGGATGTATGTACACAGATGTGTATATGTATGTATACATACATATACACAGACTTATGTAGGAAGGAATGTAGATATGTATGTATGTGTAGATATACATAGGTGTGTGTGTGTGTATGTGTGTTGCAACCTACGCATTGCATTTCTCAATAGGGATGTACCATGATTTATTTATCCAGTCTCCATAATGATAGAAATCTAGGTTGTTTCAGATTTTCTCCCATTAGGAATGAAGCTGCAGTGATCATCATCCCACATGTCTCTTTGTGCACACAGAGCCCGTGTTTCTCCAGGGTGGATTCTAAGAAGTAGAAGTTTGGGGTCACAGAGCACGTGCATTTAAAAATTGAAGCATCTGTTGCCAAATTGTCCTACCAAGGAACTATCCCAGTTTGTATTCACACAAGCCACTTGTGAGGTCACTAGATTTCCCACATCCTCACCAACATGTTACACTTTGGGAAGACTGCCCACGCTGGGGCTTCCATCCTCTGTTTGAATGTGTATCTGAATTTCTTCCCTTCTTTTGTCCTGTTTTTGTAGATCATTGGAAATCTTGGCAAATACCACTTTTAAAGCGGCATTATAGTCCATCGTATGGATGTATCCTAATGTATTTAACTACTCCCATCTTGGTGGGCATTTAAGTTTTATGTTTCTGAGAAATGTTATTGTTCTTTATGGCTCATCATTGTGGCTCAGCTGTTGACATATAGAATGATCACTCCTGCACCCACTTTGCATGCTTTTGCCTGATGTTTGGTGATTGAATCCATGCTCCTTTCTCAGATAACGAGCAGCATAGCTCTGTGATGAAGGGACGGGGCTCCGAAGGTAGATTTGTCAGGGTTCAGATCTTGTCTTGTCCACTTCCTGTAGGCCTTGGCCCATCACTTTACCTTTCTAGGCCTTGGTGGTTTACTGTAGAGTGATGATAATAGCATTACTCTCTCTAGGTGGCACTGCGCAAACTTGAACATGCATCAGAATCACCTGGAGGGTGATTTGTTAAACCACAGGTGGCTGGGTTTCACACTCAAGAGTCTGTAATCCAGTCGCCCCGGGGGCAGGCCCCCAGAACTTGTAATTCCAGCAGGTTCCTGGGTGATGCTGATATTGCTGGTCTGGGGATCGTGCACAGAGACCCAATGTTTTGTGGATTGACCTCAGTATTAAATGAGGTGATGCTTGGAGAGTAGCACAGTGCCTGGCTCCCAGTGATTATTGAATGACTGTCAAAATGACCAGTGAAGTGGTTTTGGTCATCAGAACTTACAGTCAGCAGACTAGGTTGGGTTTATTATCAGCAGAGTAACACGTCACTCTCAAATGTCTCTGGAAGGTTTAGGACTTTGAATCTGCTACAGTTCAGGGATTATCTCTGAGCTGAGTCTGGAGACGTGTGCGTGTGTGTGTGTGTGTGTGTGTGTGTGTGTGTGTGATGGTGTAGAAGGATTATACCTCTTTAAAATCGGTATACACCTGAAAAATGAACTCTTGAATTAAGAAATCGTGGTCCTTTGCAATTTTCCCTTCCCCTCTCCTCATTCCCTCCTTAGGGATCCTCTTTCTGAACTGCCATTTTCAGCATTTTAAATAATTGTCTAAATAACAGGAAGGAACTCCGATGAATCAGTATGAGGCATGGAAACCTCTTATAGAGACAGGATTGCTATCAGCCCAGTGACAAGGGCTGGGCTAATGAATGCTTCCTTCCCATAAGAAGTGCTCTACAGCTGGAATATTCACAAATGTATAATTTTGGTGAAAACATAACTCAATTTTAGGGCAATTGACATATAATATATACAGGAAAAGGGATTTGAGAAGGATAATTGTCAAGACATGCAGAGCTCCTTCCAGTGACCACCCTGAATTCCATTCCTTAAACAAAAAAAAATTCTGCTGTGCAATGTTATCATGCTATTTCTAGGAGTTATGCTTTGAATGCAGCAATTTTGTAGATTGTGTTTCAGCCCCAGAGTGGCAATGCATCAAGTGGGGTAAGCCGTCATCCACCGCCTGGTGTTTCATGAAACATCTCTCCATCCGTGGGGCGCTGGCAGTGCTCGCCCTGTGTATGAGGCTGGAATATGGTAACAGCATTGGCTCCTTACCACACTTGCCCATTGTCCCGATGTTTCTTAAATTCACCCGGGGAAGAGAAGACGCTTGCCAGGCAAGGAAGGGACTAGGAACTGGAGAGAGCCCCAAATGGCAGTTTTTCAGAAAAGCCTTAAGGCTACTATTTTCTCCTCCATCAGTCATTCCTTCCATCCAGTGGACCCTGTGCTGGCCCCTGGAATACGGACAGGAATGAAGATATAACTTCGCCAAGAATGTACAATCTGATGAAGAAGAAGGAAGTTTGTCTCACAACAAACTCTGGTAACAGGGACTTTTCCAAAAATATTAGGGGGAAAAAAATAGTACAGAGTCTGATAAAACACCCACCCCACCACTCATCACAGAGAACGAAAGTGAACGTGTCACATTTGTTTCAAAAATTTTAAAAGAGGGGCGCCTGGGTGGCTCAGTTGTTAAGCGTCTGCCTTCGGCTCAGGTCATGATCCCAGGGTCCTGGGATCGAGCCCTGTATCAGGCTCCCTGCTCCGCGGGAAGCCTGCTTCTCCCTCCCTGCTTGTGTTCCCTCTCTGGCTGTCTTTCTGTCAAATAAAAAAAAAAATTTTTTTTAAAGAAATTAAATATTACTGATGATGTCACAGTCCTGATTAGATCTCTCCCAAGTCCCACTTTCTTGTCTTCCTGTCCTCGGGAGGGAAAACACTGCCATGAATTTGGTAGGGATCCAAATCTGTGTGCATGTTTTGTACTTCTCGTATAGATGTCTGTGCAACCTTAGACCCAAAGCACAGTTCATTTTAATGCCCATAAATGATACATTCACATTTCCTTTACCTCAGCCTTGTGGTTCAAGATGGGTTGAGGACACATGGCATTCTAGCATATTCATCTTCGTTGCTGTTCTGTGCTCTGTTGTATAAGCGTTGCACTGTTTGTTTAATCATGACCCCCTGATGGACATTTAGGTTGTCAATGGTAGGGGATCTTCAGTGTCTGCAGCCTGAGTTGGATCCAGCAGCTCGTTCAGTGGAAGCCCAGGACTCTCGAGGTCAGGGTTCTGCCAAGTATCCGGTAGCCAAGTAGCTCTCACTACTCCCACTATGTAGTAAGGAGAATGCACATAGTTTCAGAAGAAGCTCAGATGAATTCATGTGGGTGGGTATCATGGTACATTGCTTTGGGGATCGGGCGTCCAGCTTGGATTGGTTGAGCGCCATCTTGGAAGCAGTTACACACGTCCCTCTGTGGTCTCCAGGGACATGGCTTGTAATCTCCTACCCCGAGCTTGTGCACTTAGGATTCTGTAGCCATGACTTCTTGCTTACAATGCAGGACCTGGTAGAAAAGTCGACTTGCTGAGGATGACGTGGGCCTGTTTCTGTCCCTGGGATTTCAAGGGGAAAAAAAAGGTGGGGGCAAGGGGAAAATGTTCTTTATGTTTAATATTCCTGGTTTTACAGAAGGCACTTTGAAAAGAGCAGTCAGCATTTTATAAAGTTCAAAAATAGCTCAGCCATGTTATGTAACCTCCTCCTTTCTAATGCGAAGTTATTAAACATCTGTCCCTTCCCCAAGTGCAGGGCATATAGCTGGTAACTCCTGGGATGGTGATGTAGATCATTACCTGTTCTGCCTGTGTGGAACTGAGGCTGTTCTGTCCAGTCCTGTCCCAAGAGTCCATCCGGGCCGCTGGTGGACCGGGCCCCGTGGGAGGCAGTGTGGCCTCGGAGTGAAGCATCTGGCACTGAAGCTGGCCTGCCTGGGTTTGAATCCCGGGTCAGAACTCTTCTAGATCCAAGGCTTTGGGCAAGTCCCTTAATTCCTCCAGGTCTGCCTCCTGAGATGTAACACAGGAACAAGAAAACTGTTTGCATCTTATCCGAGAGCCTGGCATGTGGAAAGCAGTCTATAAATCGTTAACTCTTATGATAAAACTTGCAAATATAAGATTGTGAGTGAGACCAATGTATCTGCATGCCATAGTCCACAACATTGCCATTTATTCATCCCCTCAAAAGGTCTTTAGTACCCTCTGTATGCTAGATGCCAACTCTCCATAGATGGCAAGGCAGGGAAGCCCTCATATGAATATTGGGGGACCCAGTGTTGCCATGTGTCTTGTTGTCTTTGAGCCCTGCGGGTCAGTGGACTATCCCATTGTAGAGGCTCATCTCACCAGTTGGAGGTACAGGAGAAAAGGGAATGTCCTCCTAGGGAAGCAGAACCCCTAAGGAGAAGAGGCCTAGGATCAGGACCACTCGATGCTCTGCTACTCTTTCCCAAACTTCTTCCCGGTGGCTTTTATTCCTTCCTCTGGTGTTGCAGCTCTGGTCATACTCGGTAATACTCACGCTGTCTCTTGGTTCAAACTTGTAGACCCAGGGGCAGTTCCTGTCAAATTTTAGACCTGCAGGTCTGTTGGGACATAGAACATTAAATGTGTGTATGTGTGTGTGTGTGTTTTAGTCTTGTTGTTGTACCAGAATTAAGTGAAATCTTACATGC